TGACTTGTGTGTAAGAGTTTAATCAAAGGGGAACAAAAGCTTTATTAACTTGCTTTCTCCGTCCCCCCCACCCCCTCTTTGCACGATGTACTTGTTTATTATCTGTTGGCACATACTCCTCATATGGTTTGAAATGAAAGGATGATCCATCTCCTCATTACCGATCCTCTGCTTGGTGATTAAAAACAAAACAAAACATATGAACAAAGGAAAATGCCTTCTTGTCATTTCTCAGCCTTCCCTTCGAGGTTCAGCTGGGATGTTAAAGATCTGGATTTAATGAAAGAAGGTGAGAAGGTGAACAGCAACAACAAAACCTGAATGAGCGTATGTTTAGTTATATGGAAAGATCACTGAGAAGGGGCAGTAATTTTCTTTGTACCTAATGTAACGCAGTATCTCCCAAGGTCAAAGAAGACCACAACCCTTCCTTCCTTACTCTTTCATTCCCTACCCTGGCAGCTCGCTTCTCCACCTAGAGCAGGTTTCGCAAAGTTTAATTTCGGATGGTGGAGTGAAAAAGAATCTTTTTCAACACCACCTTGTAGTTCTTGAGAAGCACACAGAAGTAGTGCAGGAGTTTCTTTCAGTTGCATTGCTGGTGGAGCATCTCAGGAGCAGGCATTTCAGACCTCACGCTGTGGATGGCAGAGCCCAGCCCGTCTGCAGGCTTACTGACACTTACCCTTTAGACTGGGAGTGAAGAAGCAGATTCCCATTTAGTGATGCCAAGCCACTAAAAAACAACACACTTTAATGCTTCAAAGGAGAGCCAATAACAGCTGTCGAAACTCTAAAGCAATGCTCCGAATTAGAACGAAATCGTGTAGTCATATCATTCCTAAAATGTCCTTAATCAGTGTGCGTTCCAGCCCTGTAGTGTGAGTATCACACTGAAAATACCAAAGAAAACGTGAGGGCCAAACTTGGACCGAACCCCTAAAACTCTAAAAGAGAGTGATGTTGCTTTCCAAACCAGGAAATCATGACTCATCAGCCCCAAGAGACCACCCATTTGGGGAGTGGGAGAGAAGCACGACAAACCATGACAAGTTAAAAAAATAAAATAAAACCCAAAACATCTTGAAGTAGAGCTCCTTTTGGATCCACAGCTATCTCATCAAAGCAGACATGTTTCCTTGATGCTCTATGGCCAGTAGAACTCTTAACACTTTGGCAGGCATAAATTGAGATCTTTCTTTGACGTTGAAATACGCAGCCTTAACTGTGCTCTCATCCTCTACATTTCACTGAGTGAATAACCTAAATTACACAGAACGGCAGTAAATTGGCTCATCATAGCCCTGTTCTAATTTTAAAAGGATAAGGATCTGAAAAACCAGACAGCCTAGCACTGAAAGGACTAGTGAAGCCTTTTCAGGGGCTGCCAGAGCCTTTCCTCAAAAGGTCATGGATTCAAATTCAACCTGGGTTTGTGATGACCAAGAGCCATTCGACATTTCATGTTAAATTTATGTGTGCCCTCAACATAATGTTCCTAATAAGGAGGCTGACAGCTTGCATTTGTCATCTTGCTGACTGTCTCAGGAGTACAGTGGACGGCTAACCACATGTGGAAACTAAATCATTTCCTCCCACATAAAGGTGATCCTTACAAAATGTGAACTCCAAGGTACTGAAGAGCATCTTGCCTTCACGCCATCTGCTGTCTGATCTCTGCCCCTCTTCCAGCCGCCCCAATCCAAGGGAAAAGTGCAGCAGCTCTCTGACTGTCAGTCTAATACCTTAATGAAAATTTAAAGATGCACGTGCATGCCCACAAGAACAGTATTTGCCAAGCAACAGAACTCTCTTGTTTTTGACAAAGCATTCACTTGTGGTGAAAAAATGCCAGGTACTAAGTCAAATTTTGACTCCATTACTGAGTATTATCCTTGAGCTCTAAATAGAACGTCAGTACAATTCAGCTATCAGGCTCCTCCACTCCCCCTCACCACACCCTGAACAACAACATATTAGCAAACTAAACAGTTATCTCAGCTGGAGTCACGACTGAAGGAGATTCTGAATTATTGGCTCTGGCCACAGGTCACATTGGACCATCAACGATCTTAGGTTTCTGCTTGGAATTTCATAGAATTCAGTGAAGAGATCCACCATCAATTAAAAGATATTTGGGATGACTTAGAGACACGATAATCAGATTGTTCCTCTTTATGTAAAAGCAAAAGTTGGTATAGCTGAGTTGAGATATAAGATTTTCATGGAGGACCTTTCACAGGTTGATGCTGACCACGACGAAGCTATAGTTCAACATGTGGGAGAGTGCTCCTTATAGACGGGGTACCACCAGGGTGTGTCAGTGTTGTCTAGCTGAATGACGTTGGACAGCTCTGCCACTCTAACAGCACATGGCCCCCAGCTACAGGGGAGGGTGGCAGCACCCAGGTGAAATCCTGTGCCTCCTGAGCACTTTAGGAGTCCAGCTCCCCCAGGTTTCTTGTGACTAAAAATGTCCTTATCACAGTCAGAGGAAGTGCTGCCTCGATCCTTTCTTTTAATTACTAGCAATCATTTGAACTCGTAGGTGGAGAGACTGAAGTTATTTATTGTTATCTGGCCACTTGGGAAATCAGATTCTGGGAAGTCATAAAGAGAAAATTTTTGCAAATATTTCCTCCTGCCAGAGGTGTGAGGTGAAGGGAAAATATCGAACACAACCACAACTCCTAAAAGAAAAAAGCAACCGACGTTGAAGCCTCCTCCCCTTCCCTTTGAATCTCGCGCTAGAGCTGTCTCTACCTTGGAGGTGGGCTGAAAATGCCTGTGAGTAAAGCCTGCCCCAAGCAACAGGGTTAAGGCTCAGCACTAATTCCACATCTGCTAATTATCTACCTATCGTTCAGTCATTTCTTCCATCTGTTGATGGGTCCTTCAGACCTTTATTGATAACCTTTTCCGATCACCTACCCAGTAGGACTTAATCACTTCAGCGGTAGACTCTCGATGGAGTCAAATGGTCACTTGCTTGACGGAAATAATTCTAGTCTAAAGTAGTCCAGGGGGATTTTCAAAAACTGCTCTAGTGCTCTGCGGGAAGCCTTTGTACGATTTGGCCTGATGTTTCCAAAATGGATTTACAGCCTTCCCTCTTCCAGGGCCTTTAACTCAACCATCTTCCTTCTTTCCCTGAGAAGCTCGCTTTCCCGGATTCTCAACACGTAGTTCAAATATGGGGTCCAGATATATTACGGTTGTTGTTGGGGTCTGACCAGGGGCGGGAAGACAGTGGAGGCCGGTAAAACAGGGCGGTGCGGGATGATGTCTGGGAACACCAGCAAGGTGTCATAAAATGAACGCCAAGCCGGCCACAAGAGGAGGGCCGGGAACCGAACCCAGAGCCCATCGCCGGGACCTTGTGGCCGACGTGACGTGGCTCCGTCAGGTGGAAACCGTGCGATCCCCTCCCGACCCAACTCACGAGAGATAAAGATGTCTAAATAACCACGACCGCCGCCGCACACCCGGCGGGGCCCCGGGGGCGGGGGGAGGGGAGCGCCTCCACTGCAGAAGCGGCGGCCGGGGCTTGTTTGGAGGTTCGCAATTCACCATGATAAATGTAAAGACCAATTAAGGTTTGATCCGTGCACACGGGAGGCAGACGGCGGCTGATAGTGGAACCAATTAACGAGCATGTCCCCTAATTCCTGCCGCGGCCGCCGAGCAAACCGCGCGGCTCCCCAGGCACCGGCCGCAGCCGCCCCGGAGTCCCAGAGCCCCCAGCCCGGCCCTGGAGTGGGGCGTCCTTCTCCAGCGAGAAGGTGTGAGGAACGCGGACCCCTTCTCCAGCGAGAAGGTGCAAGGAGTGGATCCCCGGGTGGCCGGGGAGGGGGCGCGCAAGGCCGGGAGGAGGGGAGCCAGCCGCCTACGGAGCCCAACTGTTTGCATCCGGGACCGGCGGGCGGGGCGCGACCCAGTGGTAGCGCCGGGCAGGGGCCGCGGGGGCTGGAGGAGGTGCCCAGTGCGAAGCGAGGTGGCGCCCCGAGGGCGGAGGACAGGTGGCCGTGCGGCCGCAGCCAGGTAGCTAACAGCCCGGGGGCTGCGCGGCGCGATCCCCAAACTCAGCCTGGCCCAGGGACCAGCTCGCTGCCACCCGCCCCGGGGGCGGCCTGGGTCGGAGGGAGGGGTCGCGAGACCGCACCCACGGGCCCCGCGCGCTTCGGCCTCAGGGCTCCCGCTCCCCTTCCCGTTCCGGCTCAGCCCGCCGCCCCAGACGTGACCCCCGCGCAAGGTGTTGGCTGCGCGCTGCCGGGGCGCGCGTGATTAATGGCCCGGAGGTCGGGGGCGGCGCAGGCTCGAGCCCCTTGTTGGCCTGGCCAGAGTGTGAGGGTACCCGAGAGCACTGCGGGGTCATGGCAGCGGGGGCCTCCGGGAGCGCGGCGGCAGCGGAGGAGGAGGAAGAGGAGAAGCAGGTGACGCGGACTGAAGAGGCTTGTCCCCTCTGGCCCCAGGGCTGGCGCCGCGGCGGGTCCCCCGCGCCAAGCAAAGTTTGGAGCCGCGGGCGCCGCGCGCAGGTCCCTCCCCGCTCAGTTCTCTCGGCGGGGTCTGTGCCGCCGCCGCCGCTGCCAGGGCAGGACAAAGGCTCATTAACACGTGATGGGACCGCGCTTCATAAATGGGACTGGAGCGAGAGGGAGCCAGAGACAGCGCGAGCGGAGGGAGAGGCAGGGACCGCGCGAGCGGGACGAGGCGACGAGCGCCCGGGCTGGCGGAGACGGACGGCCCCACGCCGGGCGAGGCAGGGCTCGCGGGAGGACCCAGTGAAGAGCCGGGGAAGGGGCTAGGCTCGCCTGCGGTCGGAGCAGCGGGGCGCCAGTCCCGGTCGCTGTCGCGGGCGGGCGCTGGAGACCCGGGCGCCGGCGCGCGGACCGACTGACTCGCTGACCGCCCGCGGGAGGCACACCCCGCTCCACCCCACCCCGCCTCGCCCGCAGCCCGGCGCCGGCGCCGCCTCCCGCGCGCTACTCCCTCTGCCATCCCTTCCTTCTCCACTTCTTTTCCGCCTCCGCCTCTTCTTGGCTCCCGCGGCGCCAGCGCCTTCCCCTGGCCCGGGCGGGGGCCTCGGCTCCTTGCAGAGCTCTCTGTGTCAGTGGGGGACATTTCGTTCTGTCGGACAAGCAGCCCCTGAGCTGGGCGAGAGGTGCCAAGGGAGCTTCTGTCCCGAGGACCGGGGGATGCGAAGGGTAAGACCTGGCAGAGTTGCGTTTGAAAATACTTTTTCCGCCTCCCGCCCCCTCGGGTATGACCAGTGTGGTCCCCAAGTGTCCTTCGTGGAGTTCTTATTCCGTGTGAGCGAATTGTGCGTCGGTGTTTACTTAGCTGTATGGCCCCAGCCTGTTAACTGTGATCTGTGCTACTTCTGGAGATTTCTACCGTTTACTAGTTATTGAATGTCTGTGCACCTGGCTCTGTATGCACTGATGTCTGTTTGTAGAAAATGTGTAATTGTGCATGTTTGAAAAACGGGCGCTTGAGTTGGTGCTGAATGCCTAGCAAGTGGTCTTCCCAGGGAAATACATCGATCTCTGCTGCAAACCTAGACATTGACTAATGTAAAATAGTAAATGTCATATAAAGAGATGAATGTCAAATAATAAACTTTTGATATAGAAAAAGCTACAGGAACCACTTCTCCCTGAGGAAAAACAAATGTCCATGTAACTGATACCTAAAATTGAGTGTTGATGGAGTCATTTAACTCAGAAATAGCCGTTAGATGACTAAAGTTAATGTTGCATTTTTAAAAGACATTTCTTGTTAAGGCTTACAAATCATAAACGAATCACCTCCCAGATACAAATACGTTTGCTGTAATAGATGTGAGAAACTCATCTGGTCATTTGAAAGTTTAAAAGCAACATGCATGTTTCTAATTTTAATAGATTGTCTCTCAGAGATGTAAAATTGAGCAGATGAGAAAAACCAAAAAAAATGTTTAGTAACATATTAATCATTTTGCCTCCTATCTTTTTTTATTTTTCTCCAAATAAGTGCTATTCTTGTCTTTGTTGTTGATTTCTTGATATATTAAGCCTCCTCGGGCATGTAATCCAATAAGATTAGAACAGATTTACTGGTTTTAACAGTGTTAAAAGATATCTCTATGGGTCCCATAACTTCTCATTTTTATTACCAAGTTAATATCTTTTGAACAATGGGGAAATGCAATTTCTTAGAGGTAACTCAGTGGACACTGAGTATTAGTGGGGTCACCATTGACATCAATCTATTTTGCAGAATATTGAGAAGCTCAGAGCAACGAACCTTTAAGATTCCCATAGGACTTTATCTGATTTAAAGTGTTGCTTTTCTAATCCTACCCTACTGACAGTTTGCAAGGGAAGATATACTGATTGATTTTTCTCTGTCCCTTTTTTCCCTGGTACTCCTCCCCCTCCCTTGCTCTCTAACTCACTTAAGAGCAATTTTATAAAAATAAAAGGCCTGTATCGTTTTTAAGTGAGACAGATTATTCTCTGATTATCTCCATACGTGAACAGAAGACATGCACCTCCAGAATTTTAATCATTGCATTCTACAGGCATTTATTTGTAGGCACAATGGCAGTTACCATAGTTGGGCAAGAGTCTTGATATTGGACATAGTTTTAAAAAACTAATCCATTTGAGGTTATCAGGAGAACTTACTGTAAACCGACTCTTTTTGTTTCAAAGATGTCTCCCACCCCAGGCGAGGAGCGCTCTTGGCTGAGGTATGTATCAAGTGTCTGTTGGGGAAAGGTCTCATTGTGTTTCTAAGTGTCCATGGGGGTAAAACGATGCCACAAGGTGGAAATACTCAATTCTGGCCTTTCAAAAATAAAATTACTGTACTTGCATACTCGTTGTTAGGAAAGCAAATTAGATATTCATGTCCTTGCATTTTAACAACATTAATATATGTGTATGTAAAAATACTATTATGACTAGAATCTTAAGCCATGGGTGATTATTATTTAGTGTGTAAAGTATTAAATTCTGATGGAAATCAGATCTCACATTGAAGTAGTGCTTGGCTTTGTTTGTTATCCACTGTTTTCTTTTTCTGTTACCCTTTTCCCAGTGGACCATGTTCCTCTCTGTCTTGCCTATGAGATTGCCCTTCTCTAATAAGCCTAGCTGCAGGATCAGTGTGTTCTTTTTGGCATTTCAAAATGGTAAAATAGTGAAATTGTTAAATGTTACCAAGATGATACTGCTGGGAATGAAATTCTCCAAAAGAACCACTATATTTGTGGCATATTTCAGTCTCTTAAAAAAAAAAAAAGACAAACAAACAAACAAAAAACAAAACAAAACTGAAAAAAACCTCTGATTCGATTTACTTTTCTTCCCAAGAAGGAAGCAGCCCCATTGATTGTGTTGATAAGTGTTTAGTATGCAGTGTCAGCTTATTAATTACTAAGGCAAAGCCTCAGAAACTGTTTCAAAACAGTCGTATAACACTGTTCTTTGCTTTGACTAAAAATTAACATTAACCACCGGAAAATTTAGACAGGCTCCATGGTTGTCTTGTATATTAGTGTTTGGAACTGGAATTCAAATATTCTGCTGTGTAAGAAAAACTATTATGAGATGGAACCTACAATAGCAGTTTATAGTTCACCACACTTACCAAATGTTTCTTACCAGAAAACAGTTGGCCTAATAAGGGATTATTTCCCATAACTAGCATCCAGGAATGCTGCAAAATAAGAGTAACAAATTAAATTTGAAAATATCTAATGACACATAATTAGCAAAATGAGATTTGGTTATAGCGTCTTGAATCTGTAAGAATTCTAGATGACAGTTATTATTTCTTTTATTCCAGGAAATATTTTGGAGAAATCTGAATTGATCTATGTTATAAAGTTAATCCAGTCTAATCTAAGAATATTCAGTGAATTAAATGCTTATTAAAGCAATTAAAGCATTATAACAGGCAGTAACCTAAAGGACAGACTTCATCTTACTAACCAAATTCTGTGTTAGCTCAGTTGCATAAAGAACACAGATGAGAGCTCTCATTCCCTGCTAAAAAGGATGCCATGTCTCCACCAGTGTAAGTCTGTTTCTTCTATTTTTGTAGTCATCATTTTCTAATTGAACTGACAAATAGTTAGAGTGTAACTAGGCTTCGGGTTTAAATTATTTATGATTCTGCTATTGCCTCTAAAACCACTTGGACCCAACATTGTTTGAAAGACTGTGCTAGGGCCAGGTTTACATACTGCATATCTGTATTTTGAGAGACAGCCAGCTTTGCTGATTTTTCTCTTATATACTGAAGATTGGTAGAGAACTCAAAGAATAAGAGGAAATCCAAATCTGTTTATATAGTTTGTGTTGCCAAAATTTTAACTTCATGTTTTCTTCCCTGAATCTCCAGTTCTTTCCTAATCCTATCCTCAGAGAAATGGTAACTTTATATTATAGCTACATGATTGCTGTTTTTAGGGACCTAGGACACTGAACTCTTGGCCACTGAATTGCTGTTTACTGCTTTGATAAGCATCTAATTCGATGTATATTCTTAGATTAGATTGGATTAACTTTATAACATAGATTAATTCAGATTTGTCTAAAATGTTTCCTGGATTAAAAGAAACAATAACTTCACCCAGAATATGTAAGTCTAATATCGTATATATTATACTTATAATATGATATGAAATATGATATACTTATGATATGATATATATCACATATATGATATGATATATAGCATATTATATATAATATGATATATACTTTCACATAAAATATGAAAGTATATGTTGCATAATTTTGGACAACTGGACATATAAACACACTTTTATTTACATGTATAAACAAACTTTTTGATAGAAGTAAATCATGACAAATAAAAATTTAAATATCTTGCCTTTATACATTTGAACATATAATTCTGATTTTAAATGAATACTACAAATTTGGGGAAATGTCCACATTCAAAGCAGCTGTGCAGATGGACACTGAAGGCAAAGCAAAAGGAAATACCCACCTTGAATCAAAACAAGGCCATTCTCGTTTTCCAAGATAGGTGGAAATCCGTGGCAGTCCCATGTGTTCTAAGACTCTTGCAAATATGCCAGGAGGAACATCACCACATTTGCTTATAATTTTATTATAAACACTGATGGGTTTAAGACAGTTTTTTTTTTTTTTGGTTTTTGGTTTTTGAAACAAATCCTTTTAATTGCTTATTGTTTTTGGGGAAATTAGGACTATGCAAGTTGGAGGAAAATACAGAAGGTTATTACCATATATCAGAATGCATATTGAGATGGTATATTTTTTATATATAACACATTAAAATATTACTACAAGTGAGTTAAACCTATAGGAAATTGTTTTAGGGGGTAAGGTTTGTAAGGTGGACCCTGTCACCTCTATTGCTACTTTTGAAATTGCTTTATGTTAGAGGAGCTTCCATCTCAAACTTGCTCACATGGATAAGAGGTATGTTTAATACATACTGGTAATCATAGGTCAAAGTCATCACATAAAGTAGTGTGATTACCTTGAGTTCTTATATAAATATTTACTAAAAGCTTTCCTGTGTTGTATTTCTTGACTAAACGGGGTGCCTCATGATGAAACAAAGTACATTTGTATAATAGTTTAGAGGACAGTTAGTGGCATGTATAAGTATATTCGTGATCTAGTTTCCATTGATATTTTCCATCTATTTGAAGTATTTTTCATATAGATCAATTAATAATGGATAACCTCTAAGTTAAAAGTTTGATTTGGACAGGTAAAGCTAACAACTTAATCACCATGGAGTTCTTGAGGTTCATAGTTTATATGGGTTTTTGAGGGAAGAATTGTTTACTCCCAAAACCTGAGCAGATGAGCATGGCAGAGTCTTCACAGTTGTTCAGGGAATACTCGTGAATTCGTTTTAACCCCAGCAGGAGAAATGTTCACACGTGCACTTTAGGAAAGCTTTCAAAGTTTCGCTTTCCTTGCTTTGTTTTCTTTTGTTCTTGAATATGTAGAGGCTGGTTAGATGGAAATCATTGTTTTTGAGCAAACTCTACTTTAACGCATTGTGCTATTGCATAATATTCTTTTTGAATGCTTCCAAAAGTATATTTTGCATTTTTTTGACTGCAAGAAGGAATTTAATTTGCCTTTTCTCTCAACACTAATGGCAAATAATTTTTCCCTAAAGTACAATATTTTACTACTTAATG